CTTCTGCAGCAAGCGCTTCAGGTCCTCCTCAGTTTCAGGCAGCAGTGTTGAGAAGGAGTCGTGGTACTAGGGATATTGTAGCTAATGTTAGATGGATCTTGGCTGAAAGCAGGGAGTACCAGAGGAATGTCTATCTTTGTTTCATTGATTATGCAAAGGTGTTTGCCTGTGTGGATCATAACAAATTGTGGCTGACTCTGAGAAGAATGAGAATCCCAGAACACTTGATCGTGCTAATGAGAAACCTATACTTTGAACCAAGAGGTAGTCCTCAGAACAGAGCAAGGAAACACTGCATGGTTCAGAATTGGGAAGGGCGTATGCCAGGGATGTGTCCTATCTCCATACCTTTTCAATCTACATGCAGAACAGATTATCCAGGAGGCTGGGCTGTATGAGGAGACATTTGGCATCGGGATTCGATGAAGACTCATCAACAGTCTGTGTTATGCAGATGACACAAGCCTGCCTTAGATGAATGAGCTTAATAATTCCACAATTAGACAGCGTGGTGAAGGCTATACTGGGGAAAGGAAGATTGGCTGCTTTGTCAAAGAGGGCATCCTACTGCCTTCTGGAAGGGGAAATCCTGTCCACCTAATCCATTCAACCTAATTTCTTTCTGGAAGTAAATGAATAAATCACAGAAGTTTTTTCTTTCAGGGCTGGAGAAATATTTGGAGTGTTAAGTGGAAAAATCACTAGATACCATCAAATCTGTATTTTTAGAAAGGTTTAATAGAACTTATTCCTCAAAGTCAGTCATGGTCAAGTTTGATGACAACTTCTATGAGATAAAAGTGATGGTGTGGGAAGGCAGCTCCTCCCTCCCAGCAGGCTCTCGGGCCCATTTTCAAATCTGCAGGAATCCTGCAAGCCCCTGGGAATCCATTTTGCTAGCTGATTAATAGTTGGAAGGGACATTATATCATGGAAATTAGCAAACACTACAAATCAGTCCTCCCATCTTCCCCTACCCCTAGAACGGGTTGATTACCAGCTTATCACTGGGTCAGAGATTGACGTAGAAATACAGAAAAAAACACCAAAAATTCCCACCCAATCCTGCTGCCTTCGAGTCGATTCTGACTTATGGCGGCCTTCCTGTGGATGTCCAGGTCACACATTTTAGTGAGTGGAGACAGCCTCGTTTTTCTCCCATGGAGCAGCTGTTGGATTTGAAATGCTGAATTATCAGTTATCAGCCCAACACTTAGCCCTAACCACCAAAAACCAAACCCAACCCAACTGCTCTTCTGACAAATCAGTACCCTCCATCTCCATCATGATTTTAAAGCTTTAAATCCTTATGGAAGGAGGCTGTTCATCTTTCTCCCTTGGAGTGGATTTGAACCACTGATCTTTAGGCTGGCAGCCCAACAAGTATCCCATTATACCATCAGGGCTCCTTATACAAAACAAAGGCTAGGGCAAATGCAAATGGCTTCCTCACAGTTCAATATTGAAGTTAGTCTTGTGCAGCGTTTTTATAAATATCCCCATTCTTCAGACGGCTTAGACATTTCTAGATGCCACGTATCTGTGGCATTAGCATCGAAAACTCATTGCAAAAGTCTGCATTGGATAAAAATAAGTCAGGCAAACACTAACTAATAAGGCAAGAGCAAGACAGTTTTGGGGGAAATAACCTTAAAATACTCTTGTTAAATAATAAACTTGAGCCCATACGTTATGACCCAGAAGCAATGTGGCAAGGTATGTTACCTTTTCTCTCAAAATCTTCTGTAATGCCAACCCCCATCAGAAGCTCTGTAAACAAAATAGAGTACCTGTCCCACCCTTGTAACGAAGGTTAGGTATATACTTTGTGGAATTTAGTTGACATGCTTCAAGGATAATGTAATGGAGCTGGAGACATTTCAGAGAAACGTATGTAATCTGATCAGGGGATTATAAGTATCCTGGATGAAGCTAAGAGCAAATTAACTAGAAAATGTTTTCAGTAAGATACATGGAGACAAATGAACTAAATCTTGAAAGCTAGAGCTGTAGAGTACACCCTTGGTGTTGGAAAGAACAATTTGTAGAAGGAATTAAAAGAAAGACTATTATTGCAAAAGGGAGAGAAGTAATGATGACAAAGGTAAGATTACACTGCGACATTTAATTTTTCTGAATGAACAAAAGTAATCATCATCAGGCTAACATTTTTAACACGCAAAACTTGAGGGACAACTGTAAGTGGTTTCTCCCTACAACTGTTACGTTGAAAGAGCATGAATCATTTTATTGTTGCTGTTGTTTGGTTTTGTTGATGGTTTGGTTTGGTGTTTTTTTTTTTTTTTGTTTGTTTGTTTTTTTAAGATAACTTAAAACAGACATGGAGGGCCCTGCCATTCTATTTGTTTTCACTGCTGAATGTCCCAGTGTGGAATGTGTTCCCAAAACATTTTTTAACTTTATTAAAAAAATCCGAAATCTAGCTGTTGTTGAGTCACTTCTGAATCATGATGACCCCATGACTCCCGTAGATTTTCAAGGGATTTTTTATTTTGGGGGGGGGGGAAGTTGAGAACCAGGTCTTTCTTCCAAGGTGCTTCTGAGTGGACTCAAACCTACAACGATTAGGTTAACATGCCAAATGGATCAGGTATTTGTACTACCCAGGAAAATGTTTTAAAAAGGGTTGTTGTGGCGTTGATTCTGATTCACCACACTCTGTATGTGCCCGAGAACTGTGTCCCATATGGGTTTCAACAGCTGTCACCTGGAGATCTTTATGTGTTGGTATCAATTCACTGGCATACAACACCAACACCAACTCTAATGCAAGTAGATCTTCAGGCCTTTCTTCTGAGGCACTGATGAGTGACAGCTTTCCGATTAGTCATCAGCTCAACACCACGCAGCGATTCCTTCCTTAAAGCAAAAGCTGTGGGGAAAATCAGGCAACTCACCATGTTGAAATGGGCATGTGTCTTTCAAATAGTGAAACAAGATTTTTAGCATCTTAACAATATAAACTTTAAAATAAAAATGATTTTATGTTTGAGGTAATAGCATATCTACTATATAGTTTTTTTTCATAGTTTAGGATTAAATGCCTGTGATAATAAAAGGGTGCTAATTTACCTAATTGGAAGCAGGAGTGGCATCCACTTCCTAAACAACATGCCTCCGGAAACTCGATGAATTTAGATAAATGATGATATAGAAAGGCTTCAGGCCTTTTGTTTATCGGGTCGCTATGTGTCGTGTTCTACTTGACGGCAATCAATAACACAACAATTTACCTAATGCTTCGGCAAAACTTTTAAACACAAAATCTATAGAAATACCACAAATCATAGTACGCAGCTTAGGGAATTTTAAAAGTGGACATATGTATGTAAATATTAGGGTCTTTAGAAGTCCCAGTCAACTGAACTGCATGCACATAACATCTAGTGTAAAGTCCTTTATGTGTGTCTGTATTGCAGAAGTGGCACCCACTTCCTAAACAACATGCCTCCGGAACTCTATGAACTTTGATAAATGTTGATAGTTATAGAAAGGCTTCAGGTCCTTGTTGATAGGGTTGCTATGAGTCATGCTCAATTCAAAGACAATCAACAACAACAACAACATTGCATTTATAGGACACACCAGACAATCATCAACTGTAAGTGAAGATAATTTATCTAAGTTCATACTTAAGAGATTGAGATTTAACAGAATATTGCAGGTGGTATGGTTAAGTGTTGGGCCCACAGCCTAACTCTACCAGGTGCAAGAAGGAAGAGATGAAGTTGTCTACTCCTCTTAAGATTTACAGCTTGGAAATTGGTGGAAAATCATCATGAATCAGAATCGGGCGGGCAGTTGGCTTAAAATGAAATAAAAAGAATAATACTAGTGGTTGAATGGATTCTAGCACATGGTGACCCTGTGTGTCAGGGTAGTGTTGAGTTCCTTTAGTTTTTTGATAGGGAATCTCTTGGCCTAGTCATAGGGAGCTATACTGCTTACCCAAAGGCTGTTCCTCTCCGGGAGTTCAAATCCACCCACAGCTCATCAGGACAAAGAAGAGCTGTCTTCTCCAGTGCAGTGTCTAGCCTCTGAAAATCCAGTTAGAGGATCAGCCAGGAGGCATTTCTGACTTGATGACAATGAGTATATGTGTTTGTTAATAGTAAAGTTATGGACCTTTTTTTCATGAGGTGCTTCCGTGCGGCTTTGAACTTAAGCCCTTTAGATCCATAGTAGATGCCTTAACACTTTATGCTACAAGGGACTCTACAATAAATAGTCGGATTCCAAGTTTCAAGAGATGTTAGCTTCTGACATAAATGCCTGTTGTCCTTGTTTATTCCTTTTGTGTATTTTAAGCACCTTACATGTCCACAGTCCACACAGTGCCCTGGTGGATTGCAGGCCGGATGAGCATCCCAGTTTTCGGTGGGAGGGCAAGGTGAACTCCTTGTCACCAGGATCCATCAGATGTCAGATGTGCTATACAACTTGGCTGAAGCCGCCTAGGGTGGTTTGGATGGGTCTTTTTTCCTGAGGAAGATCGTTTTCAAAAGACAACGAAAACGCACCCCAAAACAGACCAGGGAAGATGCCACCAGCCTGAGCACAGCACTCGAGGGAAGGGCTTACTTTAAAGAAACACATTTTCTTAAATTAAGTACCGTGACTAAGTAGTTCAATTCCTTTTCTTTGAGCCCCCAAGGCTCATTTGGCATTGACCTTTTTCAGCCACAGGGAAGCGGCCTGAACTCTCTGCCACCCAGCGGGGGTGCGGTCCCCGCGCCCCGCCGCGGCCGCTGGACCAGCCGGGCCCGCTCCCCTCCCGCCTCCCCGTGACCCCTGACCCCAGCTAATCTGCATAGAGGAATGACAGGCATCCGCTGGGCAGGATC